TATATATAAATTACTTATAAGAAACAGTCTTCTGTCACCATACTTGTTAAATACAACAATGCATAACTATAAATAATTGCCTAATTTATTTAAAATCTGGCATATAATCACGAAATAAATATTAAAGTATTTAATAATTCAATAATATAATTAATAATATAATAATGTATTTACATATAATAGAGTTTCTCCTTTTTCGCACACAAAAAAAACAGACATATTTACAAATATTATTATTAATAAATTTAAAAAATATAGTTATAAAATGTTATTTTACTTGTTCATTTTTAACAATGTTATTTTCCAACTGTCATAACTTCCTTGTATCCTTAAATGTGGCCCTAAAATTGACCCAACCCAAACACCAACAATTGGTCTAAGCCACGTGACTATAAACAAGAAATAAATGGTCCACAAACAAGATGATGACCAACAATTTTTTACCCTAAAATCAAGAACAATAGGAAGCCAACACACGCATCTATCTTTCTATCATCATCTTCTTCAACCACCGGTTCAGATTCCTCTACAATTCTATTTCCTTTTCCTATTTTAATCTTCTTAATCAAATAAATACTACCAATGTTCTCAACCTTACTAGATAATCTAATTTCTCTCTAAAACTATACAAACTAGTATAATTTTTTCTTCATTACAACAAAATATGTTGTTGTTTTACAAATTAGAAACAATTATACTAAAATCATATAAAACTAATATAAATAGAAACTATTTTCCCTGCATGTTTATTACAAAAGTAACTCATTTAAAATTGTTAATCATAATTATGTGTTAATTAATTACTTTTAAATAAATTTTCAGATTACTATAAAACAGCTTAATGAACTTAATGTTATATTTACCCTTAGCATTCATCTCTTAACAAAAGACAATGATGTCTTTTCTTTATATTATATATTATATGACCAATGACTCAACAAGGTACTAGTTGGTTCTTTTTCTATTTTTCATTTTTAATTTTGTTTTTTACTAGAAAATCAAAAACCTCATAAAAATTTTCTGATGGGTCTCCTTCCCCAACTCAAAAGCTGATAAAAAAAATATCCTTTTGATTGAAGTGTGTTTTGGTAGTTTTAGGTTTTGTTATTTGATGAATCTGATCATCTCTTCTGAACAGGAAACAATAACTGTCTACTTCTATTCACGGTTTCAGTAGTTGTTGTTGTCCTTGTTCTTTGATCTTCAATCATTCTTTTTTTTTTTTTTTGATCACATCATCTTTGAAGAGACCATTAACAACCTTCAGTTTATGCTTCCATCATCATATATTTTTTATTTTTTGTTTTTTATTGTGTTTTTAAACCAAGAAGTAATGGAAATGTTCTTAAGAAACCCTTTATACACAAACCCAGAACCTTGTCAGCACCTTGCTGAGTACAAGCTCAAACATGGTTTCAATGGCTACAAAGCCATCCAAAAGCTCCTTGTGACATCCCCTATTGGGAAAACCAGTGTGAAGAAACCCAAGGCGGTACCCAGATGCGGTTTCTGTAATGGCTGTGAAGGGCGGTTCTATTTGTGTCTGATTTGCTCTTCATTCTCATGTTTGGATCACACCATTTTGCACTCTCTAGTCCCAGAAAACGGCAGCTCGGGTTGTTTGTGTGACATTGAAGGGCTGACCTTTATTGTGGGGTGGTGCTGTGATCCAGTTCGTATGACCCTGATTTTTGATCCGAGTTTCTGATGTCTAAGCACTCAATGGGGTTGACAAGTGGTGCCACTGGGAATGAAAGCATTGGGCAGAGGTTGATCAAGAGGAGGAGATTGATTTCTGGGGTTGGGTTGAATTTTCAGAAATCTAAGTGTGGAGTTTCCACCAAAGATATGAGAGCTAAATCATGTTATCCTATGGGGTTGAGGGGATTGAACAATCTGGGTAGCACGTGTTTCATGAATTCTGTGCTCCAAGTATTGCTTCATGCTCCTCCTGTCAGGGAGTATTTCCTTAGTGGTGGACACAGATTGGAAGCTTGTCATCGTAGAAGAACCACAGATCTGATGTGTTTGCTTTGTGAAGTCAATGCTATTTTTTCCAGCTGTTGTACTCCGCGGGAGCAGAATCCATATACTCCTGCTCAGTTTCTATACAGGTCCTGATACTTGGCGAAGGTCCTTGGTGTCAATACTCATGCTCTTGGGTTTTAGGTTTGTCTACTACAAATATGCTGGACATTTATCAGCGATCTAATAAATGCTTGGCTTCAGATATGCTTTATAAATGTTCCCCTGAAAGAAACTGATTGAGTTTATCTTGATTTGGAGTTATCTGATAGTTGTTATGAGATTATCTCATAGTGAATGGTATCTTGAGAGATTTGTCTTTGATAAAATCTATTGACATTGTGTGACCATGTGACCCCTCGTTCTAGTGGGATAAAGCTTGTCATTGTTGAGTTTTTTCCGATTATTCAACAGTAAGCCTTAGAAAAGAGAAATTTATTATTGATGGTCCCTGAGCCTGACAATTTAGAATTTATGAAAATATTTGCAATTTGGTCTGACTAAAGTAGCAAAAATAGCAACTCGTTCTACTGTGAAGGTTTTCCTGTGAAGAAAGCAAGCAACGGCATCGTTTTTTGTTAGCACTTTTTATGTTTTATCAGAACAGCTCTAACTTGATTTTGATGCTTATATGTTTTCGAGGGGGGGGGAGTTGAATTATGGTTTGTATGAGCTAAGTTGCAATTTTAGATGGAGCAATGCCAGTTAAAACCGAAAAACTTTTTATCTACTTTTGGATTTTGCAACCCATTGTGTGGCTTTGGTGGATCAAAATTCCCTTGTTTTTTTCTTTTCTGAATGGTGAAACCTTTTTGTTTTTTGTTTTCAAAGCATGGTGGCAGCAATTCAGCCAAATTAAGTGTATGACACAGGATGCTCACGAGATTTTTTCATTTCGATGTTTAGATGCAATCCATGAGAAAGAGGGCAAATCAAGAAATGGAAGCAAAGGTATTGTTTTTGCTGGTATCATAATGATGTACTTTGTCTAAATAATAATAAAATAGTTAAAGTAATATTGTGTAACTGGCTAGGAACGAATGTTGTTTCTGTGAACACATAACAGCTTTAATACCGAAGATTCAGTTCTGAAAAATTATTGCCTGTCTGGGAAAACATTGTTAACTGAGAAATCTAGACTTTGTTTATATTACTCAATTGTTGTTTTTTCAAACGATAATGAATGCTGATTTTGTTTTTTCTACATCGTAAACGAACGACTGTCAATGCATTGCTCATAGGGTGTTCTATGGGTTATTGAGATCAGATGTTACGTGCATGACCTGTGGATTCACCTCAACAACCTATGATCCTTGTGTTGACATTTCACTTAACTTGAACACCAGTGTCTCTTCAACAGAAAAGGGTAAAAAGCTTAACAAACGGAATGACGATGGAAGTCTGTCTACACTTTCAGGTTGTTTAGATTTGTTCACAAGGCCAGAGAAGTTGGGGTCAGACCAGAAACTTTACTGCCAGAATTGTCAGGAAAAGCAAGACTCTTTGAAGCAAATGTCCATTAGAAAGCTTCCATTAGTACTTAGTTTACATGTGAAACGATTTGAGCACTCTTTAGTCAAAAAGTCTTCAAGAAAAATAGACCCCGCTAACCTAACACTTCCTCCATTTTTCCTTAGACTTGCTCCTAATATGTCTTGTCCCTCCTCAACATTCCTCAGAGCCCAGATATGGAAATAAATTTATTCTTTGGGGGGTGATGGGAATCAGATATTGTTCTTCTTGAGTTTGAAATTTTTGACTGTGGTGACTCATTCGGGTAACGCCTGAATTCCGCCACTATTTTCGTTCGTGCGTATAAGGAATCAATGGTACAAATGTGATGATGCTTGGATAACTGAGGTTGATGAAGCTACAGTTAGAGCTTCACAGTGTTACATGATTTTCTATGCTCAGAAAACTTTGTACAATAAAGCAAATGAAGACCAGAGTCACGCTCCAAATTCCCCTGGAAGAGAGCTATATTTTCCTATTGCTGGTTGTTGCTAGAGAGGAGGATTATAAAGTGAGTACTTGTCATTCAAAGAGTGGAATATAAGGTGCTTGTGGCGATGAAAGCCAGCTTGATGTTGAGTGAAGGAATTTATTTCTCTTCAAATTTCCCCTCAGGTTTGTAGAATCACAGATCATAGTTAACAGACGGATTTGCAATATGCATCTCAGAAGTTTTGGACTGCCTAAAATGCAGATATGGAATGAGATGCCAGGGGTTGTGCCTAAATTTGATTCTGATGTGAATAGTTGCTGTGGTAATTCATTAGCAGTTTTGCAACAAAGAATCAAGGAGCCAGAAGTGACTCAACTCCTTCACAACTTTTCAAACTATGCTTACTCAAATTCTTTAATTGCAGGTAGTCATGTACATAACCCTTTTCAATTGATGCTAACAAAAGTTGTTCAACAACCATTGTTATTCTCCTGTCACCACCAAGTGAAGTGTGGAGCAAAAGAAAGTTAAAGGGAAAAAAGAGACTATGTTGATGACTGTTTCTAATTCCCGTGTCTAACAAGGACACTGTAATAACACTCATGACAAATTTTCACATGCCATTATGTCTGCTTTGTTGTTAGAGTGCAGATTACTTAATTGGATTGCTTATGTGGTGCACAATAGACAGGGGTTTTGTTGAAGGCAAGTTTTATTCTTTTTATTAAGCGATTTAGGAATATTACTGTTCCAACTTGGAAGTTATGTTTGCCCCTGGTTTTGAGAGAAAAACAATGCTGGGGCTATATGATTAACAGTATCTTAATATTGAAGTCAAGAAAATAGTCCAATTGGTAATTGAAGGACAACATGTCACTATATTCATATATTTTTTACAAGTTTAAAGATTAGAAAACATGCAAGATAAATTTGGAATCAAAGAGTGAAAATGGATTTCTCTTTATCAGACTCCAGAATTTTTATCATCTGTCTGTAACTGATATTATATAGAGTTTAATTTCTATATATTGTTAAGATTATTTATGAAAGTTCAGAACCTGCCATCTCTGCTTAGATTAAACTAGTTGGTTTGGATGTGGGTTTTACACATAAGTAAATGATCTTATTTTTGCAGTAGCCATTATATTGCAGTTAAAATTGGGAGATAAAAGGACAGGTGTTATAATAATAATGAAAGTGGCAAGTATTACAGAATAAAAAAAAAACTGGTTCCTTCAAATGGGGCCTCCTAAAGCATAAAGAAGAGAAAAGATGTATAAAGGTTAATATGAAGATGCTTAAAGATGAAGAAACGGTGAATTAAAAGGAAAAAGCCAATGCTAGTTCTCTATGACAGATACTTGATAAGCAGGGGAGGGTCAAACTTAATAATAACACTTTTTTAAGTTTTTTCCTATTATTGATTTGAATTCCTAATGATGGCCCCTCCAACTTTGGAACTATTCATCATTGAATGTCCTTTCACCATTATTACTATCCGCCTTCCTTTGTTCTCTAACTAGTAAAAAAAGTACAACAAATCGAAAGAAATGAGATTTTGGGACAATAGAAAAGCAAGGGTAAAAACAGGATCTCAATAAAAATTAGCAAATAAGAAAAAGAGATTCTATGTATGCTAAAATTAAGAGAGAATATTTCAAGAAAACACAATGAAATACAAATTGAAACTGTTATATAATTTATTGTGTATAAGAATGGAGCTTTCTAGAACATAGGATTAATTTGTATGGATTCCCTATTTCTTCTAATGTACTTATGCTTACTCAGTATCATGTATAGGGATGGCAACGGGTCGGGTACGGATAGTGCCTATTCGCAATCCGATCCGACAAAAAGAAATTCACTCATTACCCGACTCGCTATCCGTACGGATATCTATTTAAAAAATATCCGCGGGTATTTTAAAACACGTGAATATCCACGGATACTCGCAAATATTTAAAAAATATATATTTTAAAAAATTATTAAAATAAAATTTAAATAGAATTACAAAAAATATATAAAATATAATATAAATTAAATTAAATTTAAATTTCAATTTAATTACAATTTTAATTTTGTAAAATAAAATCAATGTTAATTTTAATTAAATTAACATTAATAAAATATAAATTAAATTTTTAATTTTTATTTTTTGCCGGGTAGCGAGTTATCTCCTCGGGTACGGATTGTATAATACCGCACCCGACCCTTTATAAGCGGGTATTAAAATATCCGCTACCCCACGAGTTTTACGGGTAAGTAATATCCCGATATCACTATTCGTCGCGATTTTAATCCGTAAGATCTGCATAACCGAATTTTTGTTGGTCATCCCTAATCATGAGAAACATTTTAACATTGCAAACAACTTGGCATTAAATAACTATTGATTAATTAATAAAATGAGACAGTCCTTGGAAAAAGAGATTAGAAAACAGGGGAAGCAATTAGGATGGAACTACTTCGTAATGACAAATGACCTTAACGAAAGTTTTAAAACTTTTTATTTTTATGTTTTTTCCTTTCATCAGTTTTAGTTTTGTCTTATCTAAAATAAAACATGAGAAAGATTAGATACTAAATATGAATCAATACAATATGTCAATACCTGACATAAAACTATTCTACTTTGTTATTTTTATATCAAATGTAATAAAAAAATCCTATCTAATTCGAGTAAAAATACATATATATTTTTATTTTATCTTAGAAAATCAGAGTCTTAGTTCCTGAGTAAAATTTTCGTTACTGTACGAAGCCCAATACTATCTGCATTCATTTGGATTCCGTATTGTCGTACATATTACAAGATTAGTCACTCAAATCCAATTTTTAATACCTTTGTTACCAACATTGTTTTTTTAATTATCTCACCGACTTTTCTAAAATCCTGAGTAAAAGTTAATCACGTTTGTGACACTATAACGGTTTTAATCTAATAATTTTTTTTAAATAATGAAAATTAGATTTGCGTTTTCACTATTTTTTTTTATAAATTCATGAAGATGTCATTAAAAAATGAGAAAAAAAGAAACAAAAAAAAGCCTTCGGACCAAATCAAACCCATAACCATAAGCTATATAGTTATAAGACGATCCATGAGCTAAACTTTCCTATACATAGAATGAAGACATCTATTATAAACTTGTGGTTTCCCTATTGCTGCTGGTTAGGAAGAGAACTTGTAGAGTTCTGGTTACTTTGAATGTGGTATCTTAAAAGGGTTGTTGAAAGAAGATTGTTTTTTCTATGTTTACTATAGTAGATTTGGAGTTAGAAAGGAGAGTACATTGAGAGAGTGTCTTTGTATTTCTTGCTGTAAAACTCGATCTATATAGTGGATTTACTTTCAATCTCAAGTTGATTGAAAGGAAACTGAATGTAGGCATTGAAGCCGAACCAATATAAACTATGGTGTTGATCTTTCTATTCTTTCACTTCTTTATTTCCTTACATTCTTTATTTGCTTGCATTCCAAGAAAGATTCAAAGACTTTGAAAATTTTTTTAAAAGAACAATTTTTATTAAACAAAACCGATTTACCCCCTCTTAGTTGAAAAACTAGGCCAATCTATTTCTACAATGGCCAAGTTGGCTTAGTGGTGAAGTTAAAAGGGAGGGTGGGAGAATTGTGGGTTCAACTTCCCCTACTAACAAGTGGAGAAATAAAACTTGGGACTCAACTAAAATAAAAGTCTAAGTAAGGAACAACTTGAAACTTTCCAACTAAACTTGAGATCAAACAAGTAATTAAGCCTTAAAGCATAAAAGAAATGAAAACTTAAAAACAAATTATCATTAAAACTTCTAAGTCTAAACATATCAAACTACAATTTCAGTTTTCTTTAAAGAACATATAAATTGAAAATCAATCCAATGGTCCAACAAATTAAGAGTTAAATCAAAATTTGAAAATTTTCTAATAACAAGAACAAAATAAGCATAAATTAAAGAAAAAAAGTAACAAAATAAACATGAATTAAAAAAATGTGGTTATTGTGAATGAATAATTAAAAAGTAGATAAAAAAAGACATAATAATAACAAAGTTGGAAAGAAAAATTATATATATATATATATATATGTATATATTATGAACTTAAAAAGAGTTTGTGTATATTAGTGACTTAGTTGACCTAATTTAGAGATAGAAGTACTCAAAGACTTTATGATTGAGAAACCAATAACATTAACTTCGTGTTATGATGATGGAAGGATGATAAAGAAAAATACTAATAAATATGAATTTAACTTCTCAATGAAGCATTTTAGAAAATTAATAAAGTTTAATTAGTAATTTGTATATTTAAGTTTTTTATTTTGGTTTTTATTTTTTTTACTTAATTGAGTTTGAATATTTTTTTACTTAATTGAATCTCAATATTTTTTAAATAGAAT